ACGCCTCTCACCTGGTGCAGCCTCACCTGGTGCACGCCTCTCACCTGGTGCACGCCTCTCACCTGGTGCACGCCTCTCACCTGGTGCACCCCTCTCACCTGGTGCACCCCTCTCACCTGGTGCACGCCTCTCACCTGGTGCACCCCTCTCACCTGGTGCACCCCTCTCACCTGGTGCACGCCTCTCACCTGGTGCACCCCTCTCACCTGGTGCACCCCTCTCACCTGGTGCACGCCTCTCACCTGGTGCACGCCTCTCACCTGGTGCACGCCTCTCACCTGGTGCACGCCTCTCACCTGGTGCACCCTCTCACCTGGTGCACCCTCTCACCTGGTGCACGCCTCTCACCTGGTGCACGCCTCTCACCTGGTGCACCCTCTCACCTGGTGCACGCCTCTCACCTGGTGCACCCCTCTCACCTGGTGCACCCCTCTCACCTGGTGCACCTCTCACCTGGTGTCTGTAGTTGTACCAGCCGTTGGAGCCAGCGACGATGAGCACCCAGTTCTTCCCGCCGTCTGCCTCCAGGGTGGGGAAGGCTCGTACCAGCCCGACACTGAGGCCGAGCAGCAGGATCACAAACTTACACATGTCGGTGACTCTGTTAGCCCTGCGTGGAAAAACAGACAAATACAGTTTTCAAACCCTCTTCAATAAAAGCTCTCTGGGAGTAAAGTCGCCTGAGAGGAGGCCGAGACGAGCAGCAGATAAACACTAACAGACACAGGCATGCCACCTGACTCCTTGGATGTCACATGATACCCATTTTCGTACCATAGCTAAGCTAGCCGGTGTTACGGTGGAAGGAGTTACCGTGTTAGCTGGCGACTTACCGAACGCGGATTTGTTTAGTTATTTTTTTTTATAACAATTTAACTCTATACTCTTTAATGAAACACTAAACAAAGGCATTCACGATGACACTTTGGATTTTTTAACATCTGTGTAACTACGACAACCACAGACGCATTCGGCTGAGAGTCACCGATTGACACGGTCACTCGTTACACCGATACACTGGAAGCATAGCAAGCTAACACTGACAGGACTTTTTAACAGCCTGAAAAAGAACTGAACAGAAATGAAAAGGAATCGGAGTCAATACAAGCGGCACCAAAAACACATCAAGAATCTGTTTCACCTTTCTGAAGCTGTTGTTAGTGAGGAAGACGACAGTGAAGCTCCTACATGTACATCCTCGTTTATATGAGTCGCTGGGAAAAACAGTAGCATGGAATTCTCGCCTGTCAGCCAATCAGAGGGCTCGGGGGGCGGGGCTTAATTGGAAACAGTCATGTGGTCGCAGAGCAGCAGCATGTTGTATGAACGTGTTTGTTTTTATGAAGTGAAAAGTGAGTTAACTGGTTTCGACTGGAGGATCATTTCTGAGAAAACAATCCTTCGTTTAAACTTAAAGGTCAAATATTTATTTATTAAAAAATATACAAATTCATTTTGACTTTGTAAATGTAGCAGATGACTTCACATTTAGGCCTACAGATTTTTTTGTTTGTTATATAATAATCATATAATAATAAACTTTATCTAAATAGCACTTTTTAAAACAGGGAGTGCTTAACAAATGGAAACACAATAAAAGAGAAATGTGATGAAGACGATTAAAAGCGACTAGTGGGGGATTATAGAAAGAGAATCACAAGTTATAGAAATGAAGTTTATTGCATCCAATCATGAAAACAAAACATCATCTGTTCTGCTTTTCTGTCTTAACTTAAACGGTCTAGATGAGTCAGAAAAAGTAAAGTGACCAACTGCAAACATGGAGACTACAATGGTGGTCCCTAAAGTCTAGTTACCAAGGACAGACCAAGACCAAGACCAAGGCAGGGCGAGACCGATACAAGACTAAGACCATAAATATCACTGAAAAATCATCAGCAGGCGTGTCACCCTCTTAACACCAGGAACAAGGGAGGGTTACCACACGGGCCTACTGGGGGCCCAGGCCCAGGGGCCAAAGGGCTCAAGCCAGAGCTCTTACTTTTAATTTTGCATAGTCAAAGGGCTCATGCTTATGAACATAAGCCTATTCATCATCATGGGCTCCTGAGGGGAGAAATCCTTCTTATCCCCCCCAGTGGTGGTCTTGATTTAAAATCCGGAATCCGCCCAGTCTGAGACCGAGACAAGGCAGAGTAAAGATGCTTTCCAATCCGAGAAGAGACCTCCAAAAAGAAGACAGAGTCGAGTAATACAACTGCAGCGGTCGCTCCCTCAGGCCCTGAATTCACTTGTTCAGGTCGGGTGAGAACAATCAGGGCGGAGCTGACACACAAAAATACCAATAAAAGAAAAGACTGAACATCTGGACGGAGTGTCAGTGATTTCTCTTTAGCACAGCAAAACTGAGTAAACTAAAATGTATGGATGCATGTCCGCTTAGGGCTTCCGTACACCCGGGTCCGTCCCTTATTACTGTTTGATTTCCTCTCTGTGTTTGTTTTGTTTGTGGGACTCGGCCTTCAGCCCCGTGAGTTCACGCTGTTTGCTTTTAGCAGCAGCAGGACGGTGATTTTAAAATCTCTCTCAGGAATACAGAATGCTTTTGTTTCCTTTGATTCAGCCACAGATTAAACACTTTATGACTTCTTACTGAGAGTCCTCTGGGCCTTTCCGAGGCGTCGTTAGAGGACGTGATGAGGCTGCTGAAGAAATCAGACTCAGGTTTATCTGCGATCTTTGTGCTTCAATTGACTGCAGGGCTGATGGTTTGATCTGCACTGCATGATGCTGCTGATAAAGAACTAAAAAGACCAGATTAGAGTATAGGGAAGAATCTGCAGTTTTTAAATCAGGCAACAAAAAAAACCTGGACAACAAAGTGTCACTACATTTTACACCAAGCCAGCTCATTTATTACACATATTTATTTTTAAAGAAGTTTATTCTTTAAAGGTCCAATCAGTGAGATGTGTAGTGAGTGAACCTGCGTGGGCATCAACTCTAGAGAGGGGGGGGGGGGGGGGACAGATCTCTACAATGTTTAGAATTCAGACTGCAGTACCCATTTTAAACAGTCAAACTTTAACATTGATTCCAATGAAGAATTAAAAAAGTTAAGATTTAAAGAAATTTAAAAGATTTAAAGAGTCTTCAGTGTGATTTTAATCACCTTACCTCTAACTGAGAGTTTGATCTTCTTGATTTGAGTCATGAGGTAAATAAACTTTTTATGTATTTATGTCTGAGTGCAAGTTTAGACTTCACAGAACATTTGAAGCCTTGTATTAAAGTCGACTTTTCATAGCAGAGTGAGAGGAACTGAAAGGTGTTTTTTAAAGATGTTAAACTTTATAAAGATCTATAAACACATGAAGGTTAAACACAAGAATGTGTATTCTCCTGGAGCGGGAAGCAAACCTGCAGCCTGTTACATCACGGCCTCACCTCTACAGGTGGCCAAGAGTCACATGACGACCAAGAGTCACATGATTCATGAGGTTCACTCCTTCATAAAGTAAACAGGTCAGCGCACACACACACACACACACACACACACACACACACACACACACACACACACACACACACACACACACACACACACACACACACACACACACACACACACACACACACACACACACACACACACACACACACACACACACACACACACACACACACACACACACACACACACACACACACACACACACACACACACACACACACACACACACACACACACACACACACTCGTCACAAGCTTCCTGTTAAACTTGTTCTGACTTTTGGTACTCTGATGACCGAGCTCAGTTTGTGCTGCCGTCGTCTCTTTAAGGAGATATTCTTTATTATCCCAGCGAGGGGAAATCGAACTTTACACTCTGTTGTTGCTGAACGAAGGGGAGGCGGTGTTTTGCTCAAGGGCACCTCAGCAGTGCACAGGAAGTGAGCTGGCACCTCTCCAGCTACCAGACCAAGTCCCTACAGACCAACTCCTAATGCTGTGGCTCAGTGGTAGAGTCAGTCGTGTCAACTGGAAGGTCGAGGGTTCGATCCCCAGCTCATGCAGCAACATGTCCGATGTGTCCTTGGGCAACACACTAAACCTCGAGTTGCTCCAGCTGCTTCATCAGAGTCCATTTACCGTTCATAAAACTGTCCTTCCATTATCTAAACCGCTTTTCACATTCAGGGTCGCGAGGGGGGCTGGAGCCAATCCCAGCTGTCTTTGGGCGAGAGGCGGGGTTACATCCTGGACAGCCAATCACAGCGCTGACAGAGACAGACTACGATCAAATCACGAAATAATAATAATAAAAACTCAGAGGAGGCGTTTTAAAGATGTCGGCAATAAATCAAACTTTTATTTCTCCATATAGAAAAAGAATTAAGTTAAGTCGTGAAACAGTCCATCGAAAAAATCTGCATCTCGTTTTCACCCGCTGGTCCTCGAGACTCGAAACCGTCGCCCCGAAACGAAAGCAAGCGAAGATGTAACAAAGTGTAAATACAATGTTCACAGTAATAAATATCCAAAAACAAAGTCTTTTATACATCCACAGTATATATATATTTATTTGTGTAAATATATATATATATTTTTATATACTATATATAGATATAATCATATACAGTAAAAAGTTATCTTCAAGTTTATCAAACAGAAAGCTGAAAAATAAAAAATGGCTGAAAACAAAAAAAGTTCGATTGCATTTTTTTTTCATTCCCAAGGCATCGGTAACCATGGCGATCTGAGTCGGTAATAAATAAAACATGATATCATCGAGAGAGAGAGAGAGAGAGAGAGAGAGAGAGTAGTGCATTGCTGTAAATAAAATACAAAATTATAGTGCAAGTTTTATTTTCTTTGCGCAGAGTCGTCTTGCAGCTGTCTGAATGACGACAGGAAACAGAGGAGTCAGAGCGCCGCCGCGGCGTCCCCTCTCTGACTGCACGTCAACCCGCCGCACAGCGTCCTCTGTCGTCTTGGCAACAAAAATAAAAACAACAACAACAACAACAGAAAGCTTTCAGGTCGAGTGTGATGCCCCGGCAGATATTCAGCGCCGGGTTTTGAATTTGGCAAATTATTCAGACAATCAAAAAACCACAAAAAAAAACAAACTCTTGTCCGTCTCGTTGGAGTCGGAGAGACGATGAAATGCATAGAACTTAAATTAATCACCAGGAGAGAAACAAAACTTAAGGTCGTTTACTGTCATGCAGCATTTCTGAGACGCAAAGCAAAGGCAGATAGTGTGTGTGTGTGTGTCTGTGTGTGTGTGTGTGTGTGTGTGTGTGTGTGTGTGTGTGTGTGTCTGTGTGTGTGTGTGAGCACTGCAGTGAGTGGCGCTCGGCCTCTGCTCGCACGTTTCCCTGGCTTCCTGTTCCCCCTCAGCGATCAGGATCAGCGGGCGGGGGAGAGCTCCACTTCCTGTTTGTCTGCAGGCGTCGGCGTCCTGCGGGCCGAGTCTTCACGCAGACTCCAGGTGTGTGTGTGCGGTTCATGTGCGTGTGTGGGTGTGCGTGCTTGTGTCAGACCTCGGCGCCCAACTCAATGACCCCCGTCTCGATGATGGGCACTAGCTTATCTTCCACCTGAACCAGCAGGATGGTTTTGTCGATATGGGAGCGATTGGCTGCGTCTCGGCTACAAGGCACCCACCGGTGAATCACCTGCAGAACACACGAGGCGTCCAATCAGATTCATCACAGAGCAAGAAGGTCACAGAGAGTCAGAGGAGGAACAGTGTGTGTGTGTGTGTGTGTGTGTGTGTGTCTCTGTGTCTGTGTGTGTGAGAGTGTGTGTGTCTGTGTGTGTGAGAGTGTGTATGTCTGTGAGAGAGAGTGTGTGTGTGTGTGTGTGTGTGTGTGTGTGTGTGTGTGTGTGTGTGTGTGTGTGTGTGTGTGTGTGTGTGCAGAAGTAAACGGTGCATTAAAGTGAATCCTGTATTTTTTTAAAGGTTCAAAGATTAATCGTCTCTTTAACGACGCCGCACGGCGAGCTGTCAACCCCGATCAAAGTTCAGCCTCTAAAAGTAAACCAATCAGCTGCTCAACAGGAAACACAGAACAGGAAACTCAGAGATGGTAGAGGTGACAGACAGTCTGATTATACGTGTTCTCACATCAGCTGTTTAACCTCCACAACAAGAACACAGGTTAACATGGGAGGATAAAGACTCACATGTCCTTCCATGCCCTCTAGGGGGCTCCACTCCCTCCAGCAGGTCCGACCTGCTCGCAGTCTCATCGTCTCGTCAGGCCACTGCAGCTCCTTCCGCTTCGAGAGGTTGATGGTCTCGAGCACATGACTGACGTCCACGATCTGCGAGACATCGGGACCAGAATGTACAACAGTCCTCGTAAAGACACGACCGCCATGCAGACAAGTTTACAACATGTTAACGAGACGCCCGGATTACAAAAGATACAGTCTGTTATTTGAATGAGCTTCATCTCAGCGTGTGGAGGAGGAGAACGATGTTCCCAAACTGAAACTTCTAGTTTTGTCTTCGTCTTATCGAAACAGATATCGATTTATTATTTTCCAGAATCATATCTGAGTTTATAAATCTGGTTTCATGACAAACCGGAGGAGACACAAGTAAAGATGACACGGGGGCCTAGTGGTTAAGAATCATGTCACCAGATTGTTCCTGGTTTGATTCCCATCAGAGAGATCTTTGTTCCTCCTCTCTTCATCTCTTTGAGTGCACAGTGCTAGCATGCTAACTGTTAGCAATTAGCATGAAGCCGAGCGTACAGTGAACTACTTCCGGCCGATTCTGACCCGATTCTTTCAGAGTAACACGACGGATTTTGAAGTCGAGCCAAATTTCAGCCCAGCTGCGCTCGCTGCTACCGACTGGTCGGGGGGGATTGTGGGACGGGAGGGAGAGGACTTCATTCATGAGCTTTGGCGGCTGAGTTTGAAACGTTTCTATGACTGGACGGCGTGCGCTCGGCTGAGGCGATGACGCAGGTCAGCACAAACTGAAGTCAAGCGGATATTAAATGTCGACCACATGGTGTGGCGAGATGAAGAGTCAGGCGATCAGCAGAAACATCGTTTCATTATTTAGATTTCTGAACCAGAAGTGGAGGATCGACTGATGGCACCACTGAAAACTGTAAAACAACCTTCATGTTCTTCTGTCCTATAATCGTAAAGTTCAAAGGTTGAACTCTGAGTGGACGGTTGTAAAGGTCATTTAAAGGTCATAAAGCCGCTGCTGTTTTTATAGAATAACAATAAACGCTCAGTTTATTTGTCTTAAATATTCCAGACGCTGAAATCAGAGAGAAGAGAATGAGACAAACTAAAAGCTCTGAGGAACTTTTCCCCGTGCTGAGGCGAGCGTTCTGTTTGCACACCTGCACTCTGTAGGAGATGTCGTCTCTGCGCACGGTGGAGACGCTGGGGTTGTGCTGCTGCGGGTGGTAGTGGTGATGGTGGTGATGCTGGCTGAGCGGGTCGGTCGCCGTGCTGCACATGGCGTCGTTGCCCAGGAGGCCCACCAGCGTGTGGCGTTTGCAGGGCGGGATGCTGTGGCTGGAGAGCGAGGCGGAGGGCCCGGCGGGGTCGGAGGCGGAGCCCAGCCGGAGCTGCAGCGAGGTGGGGAGCGTGCGCAGAGACAGCTGGCTGGTGGACGATCGTCTGCAGGGCTCCAGGCCCGTGGTGGAGGTGCGCAGCGAGGAGTGGCGGCTGCTGCTGTAACGGTACGAGGACGAGTGGCTGGCGACGGAGGCTCGGGCGGGGGAGTGACGGACCAAACCCGACTGGACCGACTGCGAGCTCTGACTGGTGCCTGGACACAGAGAGGAGACGTCACACGACCAACACAGAGACTTTAATGATCATGTTCAGAGCGAGCTCAGCGAGGTGAAGGTCGCTGCTCCTGATTGGTGCAAAGAACACTTAATGTGCGTAATCATCCTTTAAACCCTTTATATGTGATGTTTTGATCCAGCAGGTGTCGCCCTTGAGCTCCAGCATGAAACCAAAACAACTGGCGCTGCATTGTTGTGTTAGCATGCTAATGCTAGAGGATAAACTTGATTTCTACATTTCAGTGTGAACAATCAGAGATTAAGCGTTTAAAGTTTCTAAAGGTTAATGAAGGCGGATGAGGCTCCGTGTTAATCTGCATATGAAGAGGGAAAGTTGTTCGCTTCACCTTCATGTCTGCAGCCCTCGTCTGACTTCAAGAGAAAGATTAGTTTGTCTCAATACTTAAAAAAAGAGTCGATTTAGTTTTTTGTCTTATAAGCAGAGTTTGCACAGGGGTCCAAGTGTAAACAGAGCGGCAGGACACATCACCTTTGCAGACGCCTCATTGGCTGATCCATACGTGGATGTATGTGATTAGTTCGATTTTTATTTTTTTATTTCTTACCTCTCCTCTTTAAAGATGTTTGCAAAGTGTTTCTTGATGACCCCGATGAAGGCAACAAGTCAGTCTAATAACGTTAATAAAGTTGATCTTTGATCGTTTCTCGTCTTTAGTTAACTTGATTTATAAATCTCATTTCATCTACACAGGAAGACGTGCTGGAATAATAAGGAGTTTCTTTAAAGCTCATGACAGAAGAAATGTTTTTAACCTGGATTTAAACATGCAGACGTTTGGAGACTAACAGCTGCTGAACCAGGATCAGGACTCTGGACTGAACGAGGGGACCTGAGTCATCAGCACACCAAGATAACGGACTCGCGCTGCGGTCTTTAAAGCCTCAGACTCCAGATGTTCACAGATACTGACTGAACTAAATGACCTCTGTCTGCTCCAATCATCGATTAGCTTCTATATTAAATATTGAATTCCTTTAAATCATCAACAATCAGAACATGAGCGTATGATTGGTCGTCAGGTTCCTCACCCAGTGTGTGTGGCGGGTACGGGTGGGAGGGGGCGTGTCCAGAGGTCCCTCCCTGCGACACTGAGCTCTGCTGAGAATCGCCCCCCGTCCCGTTCCCGCTCCCACAGGACAGCCCCCCCACCACGTCCGGGTCCTCGATGTTCCCTCCGCTGTTACAGCCGGCGCCGCAGCCTTTACGTAACCTGACAGAGGGGGAAACATTAACAGGTCACATGGCGGCGGCGGCGCTCATGACTCATGGAGGTGAAATACGACTTTATGACGGTCAACGCTCAGCACGCCACAAACCTGTGCCAGGTGCTGACCACAAAGTTGCGGATGTTCCCCATGCTGATGGGGCCGCCCAGGATGTGTCCGAGCTGCGGGTGCGAGTTGCAGTAGGAGGTGGTCAGCGGTGAGACGTAGATGGGATACCCGATGGGCTGGTCGCAGGACGAGTTGATCATGTTTCTCAGAGCCTGTTTGGCGTTCTGGATGCTGCCGCGCTCCGGGTTCCTGTTCCTGAGGAAGACCAGCTCCTGCTGCTGCCCGGCCCAGAGACCCCGCACGCACTCTTTATTCACCTGCAGCACACACACAAGAGTCTGATCAGGTACAGAGCCTGAGCCAATCAGAGCGCAGAGGAGAGGAGGGGTAAACAGCTGAGTGTTTCTCTCTTACTTTATAGAATATCAAGTTGTGATGAATTCTCTTTGTTTCAGTGTTTCCTCTTCTCTTCTTCACATGCACTGTGTGAGTACTGACACACACTGAGATGTTTTTCTCATAGTCCACTGCACAGCTCCTACATCACACCTTTTGTACATTTTGTGTTTTTTATATTTAACATTTTTAAATTCTATTTTATATATTGTAATATCTTCTTATTCTGTATTATTTAAGTTGTTTCTAGTTCTGTTTTATTTCCTTGTTAATTGTTTAGCACCAATACACCAAGTCAGATTCCTTTATGTGTAAATGTACTTGGTAATAAACCCTCGATTCTGATTCTGATTCTGATGAATGTAATCGGCTGCAGGTCTCACCTTGATGACCCTGAAGCTGAGGTATCGTCGATTGAGCATGATGATTTTGTACTCGTTGGCGAGACAAGTTCAGAGGTTGGATTGGTAACAGAGCGGGGAACACACATCAGACTTTACCTGCACAGATAAAAAAACCTTTCAGTGTGACGACCTGTGCACGCACAGCGCCGTCTTTGATTCTAGTCTTCTTCTTTTTTTAAAAGATTTATTTTTGGGCTATTTGTGCCTTTAATAGAGAGATAGGAGAGGAGATAGAGTCAGAAATCAGGTAGAGAGCGAGTGAGGAATGACATGCGGGAAAGGAGCCACACGTTGGATTTGAACCCGGACCGCCCACCTGGAGGACTACAGCCTCCGTACATGGAGCGCACACTAACCACTGGGCAGAGGTGTAAAGAGTACTAATATATTCTACTCAAGTAAAAGTACCAGTTTAAAAAGGTACTCAAGTAAAAGTCAAAAGTAACTCATTTAAAATGTACTTTAAGTAAAAGTTACTTTTTTTTAACAACGCATCTCTTGTGTGTCGTGAAAAAAGGACGAGAGGATTATATGTTCAAGTAATCAGCTGTTTTATAAAGGAAAATGTTTAAAGGCTTTCTATGTGATGTTTTGATCCAGCAGATGTCGCCCTTGAGCTCCAGCATGAAACCAAAACAACTGGCGCTGCATTGTTGTGTTAGCATGCTAATGCTAGTGATCTTTATTCTGCTGGTATCTTCACACTGCATGTAAATTTACCTGAAATGAGCGTGATCTAGAAACACAGTTAAGCAGTGAGTACAGTATGTTATTCTTCTTTTCTCTAGTCCCTCAATTAAACAACTTTTATACACGAGGGGAGGAGTCAGCCGGCCGTCCTGGCGATGTAAACAAAGTGAAGATAGGACTCTGAAAACTCTGAAAACATCACAGACAGTGGGACTCGGGTGTTACACCCATTGTAGACAGTCATGACTCACAGAGTTATTTTCAGAGGAGATACTTGATTTATATATTTAAGTGTGAAAAATCACATAGAAAGACTTTAAACTATTTAAGTATTTTAGTGTTTTTAGTTGTATTATTCTGAGGCTGGTTAGTCTCAAAGACAGCCTCAAAGGCTGACTTAGCTGCAACTAAACCTGAGATGAAAGATAATCCATGTATTGTTTTAAAATGAGCCTTTATGAGTTTAAATATGAGATGTTTAAGTCACTATTTGTTTACCTATTAGCTACTGAAGCTTCTAAGTATTTCTTTTCACACATCTGAGATGTGTTAAGTTGCAGCAGCTTATAACACCCAACTTCCTCATACGTCTGCTTCAAAATAAAAGCATATCACAGAGATGCCAATTAGGGACATTTTTATTGTGAAAACTTTCAGGAACTAAATGTGTTTATCGCTCGGAGCTGCAGCAGCGTCCTCAGCCACTTCTTTGTCTGAGAGTAGAACCACAGCCAACTTATCTGAATCCTCTCTCTCTCTCTCTCTCTCTCTCTCTCTCTCTCTCTCTCTCTCTCTCTCTCTCTCTCTCTCTCTCTCTCTCTCTCTCTCTCTCTCTCTCTCTCTCTCTCTCTCTCTCTCTCTCTCTTCTCTCTCATCTCTCTCTCTCTCTCTCTCTCTCTCTCTCTCTCTCTCTCTCTCTCTCTCTCTCTCTCTCTCTCTCTCTCTCTCTCTCTCTCTCTCTCTCTCTCTCTCTCTCTCTCTCTCGACGGACGACGTCCCTGAACACTTTTGTCACTGATCATCTGGACCCTGAGAGGTTGAGTGGGTGAACCTGTTGATCTCACCTGGTGGAGCTTGAGAGACATTCGGATTCCGGGCACCACCACTTTCCTCAGCAGCTCCATGTCGGCGAAGATCCACTCGTCTCGCACCGACGAGATGCGGAAATCTCCCTTAAACAAGGCGTGAAGCCCGTAGAGGAAAGACTCCAGGTTACTGTGCAGGAGAGAAAACCACGCAGCGTTCAGTCTCTTTATTCTCTTCAATGTTTCTTCTCCATTTTCTGCACATAAGTTTACCTCACATCGAGGTAAACTTAAGGTAAACTTCTTTCATCTCTAAAATGAAACAGAGCAAATATTAAAGACACGTCAACGTGTGCAGCACAGCCCGGTGACCTTCAAAAGGATACTTCACCCGTTGAATGGTTGAAAACAGTGAGAGCATCAACACTACCAGTCCGCCCCGGCTCCTCGTCCTCACCGCCGGCAATAAGGCCGTGAGACGGTAACGGCCGACAGGCCGGTCTTGTTTCTCAGCTTCTGCGGCAGCCATAGCAGCTGAGCCGGTGGCGGCCTGCGTCCTGTCTCGCCACTACATTGGGGAACATCCGATTCGAGCACGGGACCTTCAAAATCTCCTTCATCCATTATCAGCTTTCTCCATAGAGCCTGTTAGCTTAGCTTCCAAGCAATATGGTGGGAGTGAGTTCCCGCCCACTGATCTGTGATTGGTCTGTAGCTTCAGTGGTGGAAAATATGAGGAACTAGCGTTGTAGCTTCACCCCGCTAACCGCAACAGCTTCCAGTGACGCAAAAATGGTCATTTTGCGTCACTGGAAGCTCCTTTACAGACTCAGAAATACAAAGATTTCACATCTCAGGGGAAAATGAGGGCGGGATGCACGACCATTCAAAAATACTACCAGGTTTCTAATGATACAAAGATTAATGCTAATGGGTGAAGTATCCCTTTAAAGTTGTCAACATTATCAATACTTCAATACCATCCATCCCTTATCTTCCTCTTATCAGAGGTCGGGCATGCCACGAGAAACATGAAGGGTTATTGTTTGATTAAAGTTAGAATCAATGTGTGAATCTGATGACACTCCGGGTTATCCTGTTAAAAGGTGATCTAATAATGAGCTTTAAATCACCTGGACATGTGATGAGCTGCTGTCCCCAGAGCTCTCCTCCCCAGCACACACAGGCCGAAGCAGAGCAGCACCAGAGACGAGTCCTTCTCGCTCTCCAGAGGCTAAAAAAACACAAAACAAAGACACGGGAAGAGTCAGGAAACACTCGCTTGTGTTCTTTTCCGATGACGAGATGTCCGTAAGATGTTTACATGCATTTAAAAAGTCCAAACAGCTTCTGATACCATCAGAAATGTAATTATCTAGCGCCATGTAACTCTACTTAGTGTGTCAGAGAAACACTGATAATACTTTTAGGGTTAGGGTTAAAATCTTGTTTGAGTGACACGGCGTTGTTTACCTTGGCTCGTCTTGAGTTGCAGTACTGGATCCAGCTCAGGTAGACGCCACAGAAACTGTCTCTGGAGATGCCCGCCAGTCGGTGGTCGTAGTCTTCGTCGATGTTGGGGTTGAAGGTGGGATCCAGGTCGACGTAGTTCCTCTCTCCACACCCCCGCAGGCCGTCCTTCATGGTCTCGTTAGCCAGCCACTCCTCCAGTTTGGGCGAGGCGATGACGTAGTAGATGATTCCCTGAGTGACAGACGAGATGTTTCATTTAAAAATAGAGAAAATGAAAAACACGCCCGTTCAGAAGAGTCGCCCACGTCTCCCGCTGACCTTGACGTAGTAGGTGGTGAGGATGCGTCGCAGGTCGAACACCTGCAGCATGGAGGCGGCGCTGTTGTCGGTGATGCTGTAGCCCTCCAGCACGTATTTGGTGACCAGCACCTCCCACGCCAGCCAGCGCTGCCCGAAGGCGGCATTAAAGGACAGGATGTGAGGGAGGTGACCCGGCTCGCAGCAACAGCAGCCCTCGTCCTCCTCCACCCCCTCTGTGATGGCCTCTACCTCCCTCTGCTGGCAGTACGTTCCTGTAGAAGAATACAGATCCAGATCATTTAAGCTTCTGTTCAGTTTGTGGAATATCGTCCAGGTGTTTCTATCTTTTCATCTTATTCATGTTGTTGTTATAAAAAGGAAACTTAAAGGAGCCACATGTGACTCTGACAGGAAGCGTTTCTTACTAACACCGCCCTCACCTCTGAATTCCAGCCCTCGCAGCTGGAAGGTGACCAGGCCGTTGCCGATCTCGATGAGATGCACCAGAGCGTTCAGGTAGTCCGAGGCTAGGATGAAGCAGTCCCCGGTGCTGAAGTTCCCCCAGCGGCCCAGCAGGAGGTCTCCACACAGGCTGTGCTGCAGCGAGCGGGTCAGGTGCTCGTAGAAGATGGAGTTCAGGTTGTTGTCATCAGAGCCTGAAGAGAGGGGCGAGAAGAAGACAGAACGTCGGTCACAAACAACACATCAAGGTAACTGTGTTGTGCTTTTAGCATGTTGTGCTTTTATTTTGCAGGTGGACAAACTGAAGTGTGGTGCTTTTATTTTGCAGGTGGACAAACTGAAGTGTGGTGCTTTTATTTTGAACGTGGACAAACTGAAGTGTGGTGCTTTTATTTTGATGGTGGACAAACTGAAGTGTGGTGCTTTTATTTTGAAACTGGACAAACTGAAGTGTGGTGCTTTTATTTTGAAACTGGACAAACTGAAGTGTGGTGCTTTTATTTTGAAACTGGACAAACTGAAGTGTGGTGCTTTTATTTTGAAACTGGACAAACTGAAGTGTGGTGCTTTGTGTTGACGAGCGGTTGACTCAAATCCCAACGGCTCGCTGGGAGCTGAATTTAAGTTTTTCTCTGGTGTTGACACAGGTCAAAGGTCAACGTTTTCTCCACGCAGTACAACAAGCTAACGAGCTCTGCTGAGTGAGGAAAGCGAGGGTCAGTGCGGTGTAGAGCGCCCCTCCTCCTTCCTCTTGACCTCTAAACTGAACTCAGTGCCCTCACCTGGATTTCTGTCCAGCTGGGAGGCCAGGCGGGTGTTGGAGTGATCCACTCTCTTGGTGCTGCAAACAGAGAGACGAATAAAGTTGAGCATTCAGAAAAAAAAGAATTCAAGCTCCGCCTCCTCCTCATGTTGACCTTTAACCTCATGTTGACCTTGGACCTCATGTTGACCTGTCATGATGTTAGTGTGTGAAACCTTTAGAGCAGCTTTACATGATCTGACTGATCAGATACTGACGTCAGTAAAAACCCTCATTTCAGTTACTGTCTCTTTAAGACCCGCCTCCCCATGAGCCCACTCTCTTCTGATTGGTCAGCTCTCTGGAAGCCTTCCTGAGGGGGGCTTTCAGAGGCTTGAAGCCGTCTGCTGAAAGTCTTGGTTTTTATATCGGGGAACTATGGCGTGATTTACAGAACGTGGCGTTTAGCGCCCTCTGCTGACTCATCCTGGGATTACTCCAACACACGATTACCTCCTGATCTGAAACTTTGACCACGTTTAGTTTGAGCCTCCAGCTGTGACTCAGAGTTTAAACGGGGATCAGCAGAACAGGTCGACTTTTATTTAAAAGAGGAAGTTTAATCAAAATGTTTTCGTACTTGTAGTCTCTCTCCCAGAACTTGACGGGACGAACGTAGGAGGTGATGAAGATGGCGCTGCCCAGGAACGGGTTGAGGGGGGTGGAGAAGATAGCCGACACGACAGCCTGAACAAACAACATGGCCGAGTCTGAAGAGGGTGGAGTTAAGGATCACTTCACACAGCCTCAGAAACAACATGTGAGGACTTCAGAGTCTGCTGCTACAGATCCTAACACGACAACGCGTTGCTCTAAAGCCCGGCTCACCCTGCAGGATAATCGATTTGAGCTCTGATTCTTCTTCTTTCTTCCCGACAGTCTCAGGGTCTCTCCCGACTCGAGGCTGACCCGATTCTCTCTTCAGATTATCTCGTAGAGTGAGCGGTCCAAAGATCCAATCTTAACGTCCCCGATCTGCCCGCCGATCGTCGGGGACGCCCCGATTTATTTTAAACATGTTTGGTATTTAGAATTTAAAATCTGGATGATTACATCATGAAGGGGTCCGGCAGAAGTTGTGTGTGACTACAATATAATCAGACAAGGGAGGACTGTAGTCATGGCGACCAGCGGCACGACGCCACCCGGCGTACAGATCATCAGTGCAGCACTTTTCTGAAACTTGTCTCCATATATCTACGATTGTATCAACTTTCCTTTATCCTACAACAACTTCCACTTCCTTCTCTTTCACCAACCATCGTCCTTTGGAGTTTTCAAATGAAACTTTATTAACAACTGTCAACGCTCCGTCCTGATTTCACTCTTGCAGTGTGAGCTGACATGCCACCCCGACAAAAATCACACCGAGTGAGCCAGGCTTAAGAGAAGCTTCCCAAAGGCATCATAAACATCAAAGCTACTTTAAAAAGCCAGAGCGTGTTCAGTCTACACGAGGCGATTAAAGGTCGCAGTGAAAGGATACGAGGCACAGCGAACGGCTGAGCGAAGGCGTGGAACGCTGAGCCCCAGGTGATCTGCCAGGGGGCGATGTAGGTGTAGACGAAGTGCAGCTTGTAGAACAACTCCCACATCTGTCAACACAAACAGCAGCTTCATGAACACATCTGGAAACATCGGGACAGGAAGTGGCTGCTTCCACTGATCTGCATTAAATCAGAATCTAAACAATATGAACGTCACGTTTCCCTCTGACCTTGCTGAAGACGATGGACATGAGGAAGAGGTCGAGCAGCAGCGTCTCGGACAGATGGCGGTAGTCGAAGGTGAAGAAGAGGACGGTGAAGAGGATGGTCACGTACTGATAGGTGGGGCTGCTGTAGGAGGAACGCAGCAGCTTCAGGCCCGCCACCGTGATCATCAGAGCGCCGACCCTGAAGGACGTTTAGAAAACAGTCAGTGCGGCGGCGGCGGCGGGTGTTAACGGTAAAATCAGGATGAAACCGCACGTTTATTCTGAAGTTACAAAGAAGTTAAGAAGTGTCAGAGGAACACTTTGAGGAAATAGATTAATGATTAGCTTAGCATAAAGACTGGAACCGGGGGGGACAGCTAGCCTAGCGGGATCAAACAGGTTTTATTTAAACGGTAAGTTTGGATAAAAAAGAAAAATTGATTTCACAATAAAATGACAAAACAGTTTGACCTGTCAGTTATCGACCTCTAGAGAGAAACAGGAAACACTTTGAAATAAAATCAGAGTTCTCACTCGGTGTCGAGTCTCTTTGGACTGGCGAGCTCTCGGGCGCTGCCGCTCAGCTCGTTGAGGATGACGAGAGGATAGAGGACGTTCTTCTCCACGAACAGCAGCCACACGTGGAGCTTCTCAAACCACATGACGTGAGCCGCGTCTGAGGGGAGGAGCCAACAAGAGTCAGACGGCGTCTAGTAACTGAATGAAGTGTTTTGATTTGTTTTAATTAACGCTTCGTGAAAGAGTCTTCTTTCTGCTCCTTTTCATTCAACATTTGTTTCTTTTTCTTAACTTTATTGTTTGTTTGAATAAATAAATAAATAAATAAAATCACAGAGCGGTAACCTTCAGGAGCGGGACTCACCCCTGACTTCAAACTGGTAGTACTCCTTGGTTTTGAGCAGCGGGTGGGAGAAGCAGTACCAGGGCAGCTGCTTGCGGACTTGAGGCATCAGGTAGTGTGTGAGCAGGCCGACCGTCCCCAACAGAGCGTACAGGACGTAACTGAGGAACGGCTGAGGGAGCAGAGAGACGGACGACATCATCAAACACACAGATCCAGATCTCATCAGCGACGTGATCACAACTCACACACTCATGTATAGCTCTATAATACTGCATGCATGTAAACTTATTCACTACATGTATATGATATTGATACATATGTGTGTATGTATATATTTATTACCATCACCTCTCTTTTTATGATGGTCACATTACATTTATTTTCTTTCCATTAATGTTTACATGCATATATACATTTTTTTCTCTCTCTAACTAATTTTTCCATTTTTATATATATATATATATATATATTTTATTTTTTATTTTTTTTTTTTTTTTACTCCCCACTAAGTTCGGCACTTTAATGCATCACGCTGTCACAAACACATTCACACCTTTCTAACACACTACCTGAACATATAAATCATTGCTTGACTTTCATCTCATTTAAATGTATTTTGTCTGTATTGTTGCTCTGAATCTTTTCTTGTGTTTTGGTATTTTGTCTGTTGTATTTTTATTTTATTTTTATTTTTTGTCTTTATTTGTTCTCGTTTAGTTGTCATGTCTGTTATGTCTATATATTCTTGTTTCATTTTGTTCACCTAAAATTGTTTTTAAAAAGAACTCACAAACTCACTCAGACTCACGCACACACAGTTACACTGAGGCTCTGCTTTAAGGGAATTTAAATGTGCATGTATGGAGGATGTAGAGCAGACGGCCGAGGGTTCAAATCCGACCTGTTGGAGCTATTTCATTGTTGTTAGAATTAGTTTTGGTATTTAGTTTACTAATATTGTCTTTTGCTGGTTATTTGTTTAGTAAATGTATTTTTACATTAGTATTTTTGTTAGGTATTTGGTAACACTGTGGGCACCAGAGGTTATTTAAGTAAGAGGCAGGTAGAGGACCAGCATGCACCTGGGTGGGCCTGTGGTTTTTTACTTTATGTAGTGTACTTTATTTAGTTTCTAAATAAACCATAGTGCCCACCCAGGTGCATGCTGGTCCTCTACCTGCCTCTTACTTAAATAAATGGTGCATCAGTGGTCATTTGATTATGTTTGATATTAGTTTATTTAGATTTGTTTGTTTTTGGACAAATAGCCACTACATGACCTTTGACCCCCTTCCTGCATGTAACTCCAGTGATTTGTATACTTTCTTTGGAGTTCATCTAGTGATCCTTTACGTCTAACGTCGTCCTCTGAGAGCTCTGACCTCCAGCTGTGAAGAGGCTGAAGCGTGAGAGATTCTTCTAAAGAAGTTTTTTCTGTACCTGCAGTGCGATGAACACGGTGCTGACATGGATGGCGAAGTAAAGAACAGCGATGACCACGCAGACGATCAGGTCAGACTGCAGACGCTCGTTCTGCGGGGGGGAAGAAACGTTTAAAATGTCTTCACTCAATGTTTGAAAAGAGCTGATGAAGGAGTCGAACTCACCACCGAGGCTCGGAGCTTTTCGGGCAGAGGGTCCTGGACTTCTGACAGAGGGTCCTCCGGGTTCTTGTCTTTTAAATTAGGCAAAATCTTTGACTGTATGAGCGAGCTGTGAAGAGAGGAGCAACAGACACAAAGTGATTACTGAAGGAGAACTCACTGAGACCGATTGGAGCTCACATATGAGCCGCCATCAGAGGTAGGAACAAAGGTGTTATGAGGAGAAGAGGGTGGAGATGTGTAATGTCAGATCAACATTGTGTGTGTGTGTGTGTGTGTGTGTGTGTGTGTGTGTGTGTGTGTGTGTGTGAGAATGTCCTGCCGTGTGTCGACATGCTGTACCGCTTACGCTTCTGCAGCGCTGAAACGCAATGTGAAGCCACGCACTGTGACATATCTATCACGATGTGATGGATGAAATGTGTAGAAAGACTCTGTTGTAAGTTTTGTTCACTTTGTGATTTCGGTTTTGCAGAATCACAAAGTGAGATCTGTTCATTCAGAGATCCTGGAGACGGCCCTGGATGCAGGTCAAGTTGATATTCTGTTTTTTTTTGTGTGCATGATCCAGGTGGGCGGGGTCAGCGCCAGGAAAATATTCAAATGCTACTTTGAAGTCATTTACTTATTTGTTTATTTAACATGGACATACAGTAACATTGGTGCTGTAACATTTAACCATGCACAAGTTCCAGATGCACCGCTCTTAGTATTTATAGAAAAATGCTAATTTGCAACAGCTGTCGACGGGAGGCTTTTAGAAACAACAGAGATAAAGATAAAAAGGGTAAGAAAAAGAAAACAGTTCAGTTATAATTACAGCGCAGTTATGAATGCAACAGGGATAAAATACAGTTACAAAGAGAAAAATATGAGCTGTGCTGATGAAAAAAGAAAACCTTGAGAGTGTGTGGAGGGTCGTTGTGAACTCACATGAGGACTGAGGGGTCGCTGCTCTGCCGGCTCAGGTGGTAGGACACGGCCACCAAGAGGCCGCAGAACACCGAGAACAACACGGGGATGTGATGCGGCTCCCACGACTCCTGAAAACACAGACAACAACATCGATATGAGATTTAGAATATCTCTCTACACTGACTCTTCATTCAGAATCTGCACTCAGCCTGCTTCTGAAAACACTCTCTCGTTTAGAACAATTGAACTAAAGATGCTGGTGCTCAGAAAACAAACGCCAGGCGGACTCGGGGCCTTACTGAGCATTTGACACACTATAACTTTTTTTAATTAATTTTTTTACATCCACAGCGAACTTAGCATCACCGATGGAAAAAAGCAAATAAAGGGAGGAGAAAAAAATAGATGAATGTTGATGCATGCAAAGAATATTCCCGTGCAACAGGTCACTGCTACATCTCTGAATCAACACTTCTGAGAGGTCGTCTGGCTCTTTAGTTTGATGGCTCTAGTTTCTTGTCCCTGTTTTTCAAACTCTGCTCTTTCTTTTTTTTTTTTCATAGTTTTTATTCATTTTTCTCATCAACAACATTACAATATGACATTTTTTTTTTCTTTTTCCAGCTGTATAGTTACATTAGGATATTAAGCCAGCAGAAATAGATTAGTAAAATACAAACCAAAATGTCCACTCCAAAGAATATACATATACACAACAATACACATGAGCAAACAAGTACATAAATAAATGTTCATAAAAGTAGAGGAGAAAGGAAAATCAGAAATAA